CTCGGCGACCTCCTGGTAGATCGGAGACTCCTTGAAGCCGTGCACCTGCAGCCAGATTCCCTGCGGTAGGAAGCGGGGGCGAAAGAGCTGGCCTGCCGAGCACTCCTCGTAGCGTTGCTCGTCCTCGTGGTGGAACTCGAAGGACACGATGGTGGCCCGCTGCTCCTGCACGAGCCCCAACTTCTTCTTCAGCTCCTCCTGCGCTGCCGTGAACCGCGCCTCCATGCCGACGTGGGCCGGCAAAACGCCGTGGATGTCTCCCGTCTTGTGCATGTTCGGGACGTTCGGGAGGCGCCGACCCGCGTCGGGCTCGCCCTGAATCGTGCCGCACTCGTCAACGGCCTGCAGGAAAACAAGGGGCACGCCCAGACGCCGAGCGTCGCGACGAGCGCGCGTGTTGATCCACCTCGCCAGCGTCTCCCAGTATATGCCCATGCCGTAGCCGAGCCGAAAGTTCTCGTGCTGGTGCCGAGGGTCCAGGACGCCCTGGTTGTCCGTGGCCAACGTCTTCTCCCAGGCGGACCAGACCTCAGGTGGGAAGGGCTTGCCCTCGCGCATGCAGCCCAGGAGCGTGATCAGAGGGTCCCCGGGCTCGAAGCGCTTCGTGCCCTTCAGCTCGAAGACGCAGGGGATCTGAGAGAAGACCTTGATGGCGTGCTGGATCTCCACCGTCGGCGGGTCCGCGTACCTGTACGACTCGTCGTCGTCCAGGCGCTCGTTCACGTCCGTCAGGAGGCCAATGCTGCCGGTGGGCTTCAGCTGCAGGAAATCGCCGAGGTGCAACACGATGGGCACGCGCCCGAAGTGGTGGTGTGGCCGCTGGTAGTTCGACTCCTGCACGTCGTGCGTGTCACTGCGTCCGTGGCAGGCGCGAAGGTCCAGCGCGTTGTACAGCGCGGCTGCCACCATGCTTATCTCGTCGATGGCAAGAACGCGGACGTGCTCCCACAACCACTTCAGCCTCTTCTGCATGCCCCCCGGCCGCAGCTTCGCGTTGGTGTACTTCTGAACTCGCATGGCACAGGCATTGTGCAGCGTTCTGGCTTTGACAGTCTCGGTGGAGATGTTCTTCGCCTGCGCGTTCGAGAAAGCCACGACCATCATGCTGGCCCTGTCCGGCGCCGGCGAGGGCCACACGTATTCCACCACTGGGAAGACGATCTTCTGCACGACGTGCGTCTTCCCCGAGCCGCCCTGGCCCAGCAGGAGCAAGTGCGTCACCTTTCTCTCGCTCCAGGGCTTCTTCTGCACGTCGTCCTCCCAGGCTTCGTCGCAGGCCTTGGCGAACTTGGCGACGAAGAGCGTCTGGTCCTGCGTGAGTCTCTGGTCCTCCGGCAAATTAGCGACCAGTTGGGCGATATACGCGCTGGGCGTGGAGTACACGCTTCGGTCGAAACTTGCCGCAGAGGGGTCGGTGCCCAGGCCGCCGGCGCTCTCGGCCGCGCCGTCGTCGACGCCCGCGTCATCCTCGTCGCCAGTGCTCTGGAGGCGGTCGTCATGCAGCTTCGCCCAGGAGTGTCTCTCCTCGCGCGCCGCAGTCACCAGCGGTCGGTACCCGGCCGCGGGCGCAGGAGCGGTCGCGGCGTCCACTGGCGCGGGCGCGCCCACGTCCTCGCGGGCCGCCTCGGACATGCACGGGAGCGCCAGGAGCTCCTTGGCCAGCTTCGTGAGACGCTTGCGGTGCGCGAAGTTCAGCACGTCCGCCATGTCCTGCTCCCCGTCGATGCCCCACGTCGGGACCGGCTGGTAGTGCAAGTGCTCTCGGACCCCCTTTGGAGGCGCGCCCGGGTGCTCTACGCCCTCGCCCGCTTCGGCGCCCTCGTCTTCGCCGGCGCCTCCACCGGTGGTCGCCTTGAGGTACGCGCAGGCACGTGCCAGTGGATGCGTGCCAGGGGCACGACCCAGAGGAAGCGCACAAGGGTGCGTCCCAGTGGATACGTGCGGGGGCACGACCCAGAGGAAGCGCACAGGGGTGCGTCCCAGTGGATGCGTGCCGGGAATAGCGTTCTGGGAACACGACGAACACGAAGTGGCCTACAGTTGGCTCCTCGCAATTATTCACTCAGAGACGAGGCTCCCGCCTGAGACTTCCTCCAAATTCAGGCCTGAGGAGCCCAAAAACATCCTTGTTGTTTCCAAAATGTGGCCTGGGAGCTGCGTTCTGGCAGCGCGAGAACCCAAAATTGACGACAGTTACAGGGTTCCGATGACCCGCTCGGATTACCAACATGATCT